GTTTGACGAGCAATGCTCGTCAACTTGGAATGTGAGATGAGTAAGAGGTTTGAAGGAGTGGAAGTGTTATTTCTTAGTTAAAATTTCTCTGACTTGGCATATGTATGTCCAAACTTAACAAACCAAACCGCACAAAACATCAATAATTCCATAATTTTTTTCGGAGGACGGGTAGACAAGTTCAGAGAGTTGAGGGATTTTGATGAAATTACCGAAGATTTGAGAGGTACTAATAAACTAGAAAGGTACTAATAAACTAGAAAGGTAAAATAATCTACGTCTTGTTTGCAGCAATTGGCAGCGCTTGCGTCTACGCTTATCAAAGCGACATCTTTCTTCCACGACTTCGCCGCCCAAGGCCTGCTACAAGACGTAAACCCATAAACCCCTTTGCTACAAGCCAAAACAAACGAGAGGACTTTACTTACTCAAGAAAAAAAAATCTCCTCATCCTCTCTCTCTCTCTCTCTCCTCTATATATATATATATAATATATATAATAATATAAATATCATATATATTATAATTATATATAATATAAAATAATAGAACTAAACTCCTATCAACTTAAAGTTGATGATCCACCAAAGTTCTAACCACACATTTATTAATATAGAAATACCTTTTATATAATACAGGAGGATCCTAGGCAATATTGAGTGGTAAACAACTGGTGGAGCCATGACTATTCCCGTATCCACATAAGTTGACAACAATTTTCACACAACACACACAACACACAGACGTGACCCCACCAACACACACACACACACATAATATATATATAATATATATATATTGTATAATAGTAAAATTAATAATATATATATATAATATATATATACTTGGGAAAAGTGATATCTAACAGGTGACAGCCGTAGATTCCAGCCACTTAGGACGGCCTAAAATCACATCACATCATTCCGAATTGTTCTGTTCCGATCCGCATCCGTTAACTTGATACTATTCAACGTTCCAAGCCTAAAACACAACCAAATTATTTGGGATGAGCCCAGTCGTGTTTTGACCATCGTTCGTTTGAGCGTGCAAAACGTTCTATATTGCATTCCGAAACCGTTAAATTTGGCGCGGCGAGTGATAAGGGTCAAAACACGCACGGGCTCACACCAAATTGTGTGTTTAAGCTTAAGGAACGTGTAGATCAATTCAACGGAGCGCCATCGAAAACAATAGGAAATGATGTGAATTTAGACCGCGTTCCTTAGGGAGTGAATCTAAGTGTAACACCTTGAGAATCACTTTTGCCAATATATATAATATGAGAGAAATCGGAGAAACTGTACCACAAGTTGCTTCAAGCAACTTCATAGTGATGTGGCTAGATAAAGTGTCCTACATCTATCATTGGAGTTGAAATGAATAGATGGTTAGGCTCGATTTCGAGGTGTGATGTATTGGGCAAGATTAGGACCACAATCACACCAAGTTGTAAGCAACTGGTATATACGTTTCTCTTTCACTTATCTTCTCTCTCTCTCTCCATCTCGTCTCTCTCTTATAATATAATAATATAGATAATAATAATATATAAATATATAATATATCATATAATGTATATATATATATAATATATAAATATTATATAATAATATATATATATAATATAATATTAATATTATTATAATAGATAAGACGAGAGAGAGAGAGAGAGAGAGAAAGTGAGTATGCCTTGGTACCCAAAAGCATAAGTTTTTGTGATTGGTAGAGAGATGACATATCCCACTTCATTCAATTGAACATCGGGACCTACACACTTCACATGTGTTGGAAGAACTGATTGTGATACTCGAATGAGTGATGAGTAATATGTATATCTCACTACGCAAGCACAACACATTTATGCCTTAGTACCAAGCATACACATGTTCTCATATATAAGTAATATATATAGTATATAATATATATAATATAATAGTATACTATTATATATATATGATATATAATATATTATATATATATATATATATATATATATAATATATATATATGGTTGGGTTATAATACACCTAGAGTGTAACAAACTTAGTTACACCCACCTGTAAAAGCACATGTTTGAGCTTCAATATTAACGATCAACACCTTCCATTATGAGCTACATGTCATAAAATGAGCGTGGATCAAATATCATGTTTATTGGGATTTTCTATCCTACAATTCAAGCAACTCAAAATAGCGGACATTTTAGATCGTTACATGCTATTCATTTCTAGGCTACTAGATGTATAAACTAATAATATCTTATCTATGTGAAATTTTTGATCTCCATGAAGTTTTGGATCTACATGTCATCAAATGAGTGTGGATCAAATATCATGTGTCTTGGTATTTTCTATCCTATAATTCAAGCAACTAAAAAAAACGAGCATTTTAGATCGTTACAGACTATTCATTTCTAGGCCACTAGATGTATAAACTAGAAATATCTTATTTATATGATATTTTTAATCTCCATGAAGTTTTGGATGAATAGATCATAATGGACGGTGTTGATCGTTAATATCGACGCTCATACATGTGCTTTTATGGGTGGGTGTAACCGAGTTAGTTGCACCCTAGGTGTAATACACACACATTAACGATCAACATATATATTGAAAAACAATTTATATAGTATTTAAAATGAACTAATTAATGATATATTAGTGGTGACCCATTCTTCTAGTTACAAAAAAGTAGATTTCATTACTTTATATCTTGATAGTTCATTTTGCTAAATGAGTTTGCAACTCGTACTAAGTATTCTCATTTACTCTCTTTCCTTATATGGAAAAGTTGTTATATATTGTTGATGTGAAACAAGACAGGGTCTATCAGAATCAGCGACCTAAATCAAATAATGCATCGTTTCACCAAATTTCATGATCTTTGGTAGGAAATTAAATTCAAAACAACTAATGTGACAGATGAGTTTAACAAGATTTGCATTAATAATTATGAATAATTCCAATCTCGATCAATTCAATTGCAATATTCATTACTATTGCACAAGTTCAACAATTAATATCAAGTTTTAATAGTCACATGCTCAGTTACTCTCAACTCATAAATATAATCTAAACAGTAAATATATGATAAGAGTTCAGATGTGGAATACTCATGCAATTAACTAATAAAATGAGATTAACAAAAAAATAAAGAGGGAATGAAACCTTCGTCGGTATGAACAGACTCGACGTGAGAGACCTGGAAATGGTGCGACGACGTACTGGCTGACAACGACGGCGGTGAATCTGAGTGACGACGACTGCGGTGAATTGAGCGATGACGACGTGTGCGACGGGACGAGGTGATGTGATGACTCGTGGGTAGGCGGCTAGAGGGGAGGTGAAGAGTTGGGTTTCGACAGGGAATATGGTAGGAGGCGGTGTCCTGTTGTGGGGGAAAAGGGCAGGGGTTCGGCCTCTGCGCTGGCTGCTCGCGAGAAGAAGAGTGGGGGGTAATCGATGGGTAGTAGGATGGTGGGGTTCAGGGCTACTCGGATAGGGGAAAGTGAGGATGGGGAGGCGCGGCTGGAAGTGAGTGAAGGCTGTAGTGAAGGAGGAGTTGGGCGATGGACTGGTAGTCGGGCGTGGAGAAGAAAGTAGGGGAGAGTGTTGGAGTCGGCGGCTGTTTTGAGGAACGACGGGAGACAGAGGAATGGAGGCGCGACAGGAGAGAAGGGGAAGCAGCTGATGGTGTTACGGCTGCGGGAAGACGAGCAGTGAAGGGCAGGGAGGAGGAGGTGGTGCTGGCTTTGCTGGTCGGAAAAGAAGAGAGTAGGGGAGGGGGGTAACGCTGATGTGGCTGGCCGTCTAAAGATAGCAGAGGTGCGGCGGCAAAGGAAAAGAGGAGAGTTGACAGGTGGTGCATTTGTAGGAGGAGATGGTCTGCTTGTTGTCTTGGGAGTGACGGAGAGATGGAGTGGGATGGCGCTGGAAAAAGGAGAGAAAGAACGAGAGATTGTAGCTAGGGTTTCACACCCATGAGGTTTCACACACTCATTAATTCAATTAGCCACAATTTTCTTCGTTCAATAATCCATTAGCCAAATCTGAATTGCAGTAGTGTTTAAATAGAAAAGCAAAAATACAGATCTGGGAAAATCCCTCAAATCACTCAATTGCCAAAACTGATAACTACTAAATATAAACCTAATTTAAAATTCAAATCTAAACTACTAAAATTAAATTACAATTCAAAATTCAAATTTCAAAATTAAGATAAGAAAGTCAACTAATCAAATATGAAAATTGCCATTTCTTGTCCTTATCAATTATGCATTTATGTTATTTACTATTGAACCTTATTTAAGAAAATAATAAATATAAACTATGACAAACTAGTGGTGGCGCTCTACTGCTAGTCATATGAGAGCAATTAACCTCATCACTCATATTTTTTAATAACTCTTTTTTTAAATAAAGTGACAACTCATATTTAGCATCTTTATGTATACAAGGAGAATTAGAACGAGGGGCGCAGTTCATTTTTCTAAATGAGATATCAGAAAATGGATTATTGATAAATCCATCTAATCTGTAACCATAGGAGGATTTTATTATGGAAAAAACCGCCTTACTCCATATTAATTACCAGAAGGAAGCTATACAAAAATAAATAAAAAAATAAATATAAATAAATAAATAAATAAAATAATAATAATAATAATAAAATATTAGAAAAGAGAGAGCAAATTTCATGATACGGAGAGGTATACAAGATATAGTGCGAACCAAAAATCCATCAAGTTTTCTTGAATAATGGACAATTTCTATAGGATTAATTGCGTACTCATGAGATAAGCAGAATATTTTAGTGGCATATTCAAATATTCTAACCCCACGTACATAATCAGCAACTAACTAAAGTCCTTACTATATTTAAAATTCCCTCTTAGCTACGTGATTAATTGGAATATTAATTGATTCCTCTCTCTTTTCAAATCCATCGTCCCTCTCTTCTCTACTTCTATATAAACACCCCCCTCATCTATTTTTTATTTTCTTTTCATCAAAAAAAGATATGATGTTATCTTCTTCTCTTTGGATATTCTCTTTTATTTCTCTGTCACTTCCCCTGATCAGTACAGTCACCGCCGGTGATCACACCGGAGTTCAGCCTCTATCGCGGGTTCGGGTCCATGCCGTGACTTTCGCCTTAGATGAATCCGCATCCGTTAATGCTTTGCCTGCTCTCCTTGGCATGCATGTATATAATATTATTGATATATTCCTTTTACATTTTTTGGTTTTTGTTTTGAGTTGTTTATTATGGTTTGTTGATAATTTTTTGTGCAGGGAGAACATATTGAGTGGTTGAATGTGGAGATTAGGAGCCCAAAGCCATCGGCAGATGATTGGGTCGGAGTTTTTTCACCCGCAAAATTCAAGTAATATGATTTAATAAATTTTGTCACAAATTATTTCACTTAACTATTGATTATCATGATTTTTTTCTCTCCTTAAGAATCTCTTCTGACCTCTTGAAATTTAAATTAGGGTAATATCAGAACACCCCTCTAAGCTTGGACAATTGTCGAAACGGCCCCTTCAAAATACAAACCCCCCCACCACACCCCACCACACACACTCACACAAAATATAGGGATTATCACAAAACCCCACTTTAACTGCAAGATTTTATCAGAAACACCTCTTTAACTTTAAGATTTTATTAGAAGCCCCCCTAATTTAGATGGGTTTTCGATAAAAATCTCAAAGATAAAAGGGGGTTTTCTGTAACCGCTGAACTTAAGGGGGGTTTTCTGATATTTTAAAAGTTAAGGGGATCTTCCGATAATCGTCCAAAAGGGTGGTTTTTAGATAATCATCCAAAGTTAACGAGGGTCTTAGAGAATTAGCTAGTAAATACTTAATTAGTGGAATTTCTTTTTAGTGATTTTGTGAGCACAAGAAATTTGAAAAGGGAAAAGAGAAGTCTTCTTAGGGTTCTAGTAGTTTGTTTAATTCTTAAACTGACATATTTTTTTTTATATAAATTGATAAATAAATTGTGTTTTTCTAATCAAATTGTGTTGTAATCTCAGCTCATCTACTTGTCCTCCGGAGTTTGGAAACAATAAAGAACAAGCTCCATTGATATGTTCGTCCCCAATAAAGGCTAGTGCATTTTTATCTTTAGAAAATATTATACTTGCTTTAGCGTTATAAAATGGAAAAAAATTTCTTACTGTGGAAATATCTTGATTTATGAATATTATGAGAATTTTACTTCGAATCATTAAGTCCACCAAATTTTATTTTTTTATTTTTTTCTGAGATAAAAAAAAAATAAAAACTGAGACAGAAGATCTAAACCCTTGTCAATTTCAACCAAAGATTGACATGACGCCAAATGACTTTTGAGTCTGTTTAATTTTCCAAGTCCGAGGTACGTTTTAGAATTCAGAAGTCGTCGTTCTTTGACAAATCCAACGTAAGAGTATCCATTTGTTTGAGTAAGTACAAGGGAATCTTCTATAATAAATAAATCTCATTGAAATACTTCTATAATAAATTAATTGAATAACAAACAAAACTAGAGGTGCTTTTAAGAAAAAACTATATTATGTTTTTAAACAAAAACTATATTATGTCCCTTTGATGCAATTTGGATCATTTCTGTCTCGTGGATAAAAGCAAAAAATCCTTTACATATGCTATGAAGAACTATTAAAAAATAGAAATGTTTAAACATTTTTCTCACTTTTACTATGAAAAGGTAGAAGATACCAACTTTCATTTAAAGGAAAAAAGCTAAAGCAAAAGAAAAAGAAAGAATTTCTTTAAAGGGGTGGGAAACCACCACAGAATATAGTGGGTTTCTCAGAGAATCACCACAAAATTTTTATTTTTCATAGCTCCGCCATGAATGTGCATCTCTAACAAAGTGCCACCAAGTCCTAATTTTACCCCTATTTTATTAAATAAAAGTATGAAATAACATAAATGCTCATCATGAAAATTTTTTGGAGGGGACGAGTGAGGAGTGTTTGGAAGGAAATTAAAACTTTTAAGGGAGTTAACAAAATTGTGAAGATAAATAATGTGTTTTGTTGAATGAGAAAATATAACAATATATTGCCGGGTCCCACCATGAGGGTACCTTAGAAATTTAGCTTGTTATTTAACATATTGTGGATGGAAATTTTGATTTGATGACGTGTTGTTAAGGACTTTCGTTTTCACGGTGGTTTTATGAAAATTAAAATTTTGTGGTGGTTTTTCGAAAAACCACCCCATTTTGCATGATTTCATATAAAAACCCTTCTTTAAATAACTGCCACTTTCCTTAATTACCTCGCCTTTAAATTCAATACTAATTTTATTACGGTCGATGATATTTGCAGTATCATTATGCAAATTATTCAAGTCCAGACTATGCGAAGACTGGAAAAGCAATATTGAGGTTCCAATTAATCAATCAGAGATCAGACTTCTCCTTTGCACTCTTTTCTGGTGGAATTTCTAGTGTACGTATCTACCAATTAATCATTATATTTTCCCTTTTCTGAATTACATAATATAGTTTTATTTTTATGCTTGGTTACATTCTATTAACATTGTAAATTATAACTTATTAACTTAATCTTTTGTTAATAATATTGATTTGCAGCCAAAACTCATTGCAGTCTCAAACACAGTCTCCTTCGCAAATCCAAGAGCACCAGTATATCCAAGATTGGCCCAAGGGAAATCTTGGGATGAAGTAAGTACATAGAATTACAAATTTTATGACCACTTTTCTTCTAAACTTTCATCTGGTAATTTTCGCTTCCCTCTCCTCTCTTCATGCATTTGGCATTACTCCACGTTAATTTGTTTAGAATTATTCATTTTTGTAGAAAAGACCTGAACCTTGGATTCATTATTAGTAAGACTAGTTGTGATATATGAAAATGGTAAATTGCAGATAACCCCCTCGTTTACACCTTTAGTTAGCACTTACTCACCCTACAACTAATTTATTTGCATGAGGAGACAGGCGTTGTTTTGCAAGTAGTTTTTTCTGTAACGGTGATTGCATTTGAAGAATTACCCAAAAAAAATTTATTTTTATAATTCAATGGGATGTAAGATTCTTTTTAATCTTTTTTAGTATTTGATCATGCTAATTAAAGCTTGATATTTCTTTAAATTTGTTTTTGACTTTGTAGATGACTGTAACTTGGACAAGTGGATATGATATTGATGAGGCAGCCCCCTTTGTAGAATGGGGACCAAAGAATGGACCCAAAACTCGCTCTCCAGCTGGAACTTTAACATTCAGTCGCAACGATATGTGTGGTATTAATCTCTGATATAATTCCTTCTCTTAACTTTAGTCAACATAAATATTATAAAAAATAAAAAATTGAATGATGCAAACTGGGTTCATAAATATGTAAACATCCAAGAAAACTCGTTCCTGAAAGCTAGCTGTTAAGAGTGAGGAGGTCTACATTTGTAAGAAATCCATAATTGGACGCCACAGAATAGAGTGGCACTACAGGCACACCCTCAACCACACCTTGGGGTACACCGCCTCTCTCAGCTACAGTGCACGGGGCCCACTTTAGATTTTTTTAAAAAATCTAAAGTGGGCCCCGTGCACTGTAGCTGAGAGAGGCGGTGTGCCTGTAGTGTTTTCCTACAGAATAACACTCTGACTGTTTTTGAACCGAAACATAGGAAAATACATTTAAAAATGTGGAAAGAGAGTTTTTTTTTATTTCCTGATATTAAATCTTTTCTGATTCTTTTATGTAGGATCACCGGCTCGTACGTTTGGATGGAGACATCCTGGTTACATACATACCAGCTTCTTGAAAGACCTGTGGCCTAATTCTGTGTAAATTCTCAATACCTTCATTTTTTCCAATTACATAATTTATAATTTTCAAAATATAATCTTTTTCAAAATTTTGCAAATGATTTAGGTATACTTACAAGCTCGGTCATCAATTATTCGACGGAACATATGTTTGGAGCAAACTCTACACCTTCAAAGCATCCCCTTATCCGGGACAAAACTCATTGCAAAAAGTCATAATTTTCGGCGATATGGGAAAGGTATAACAATATCTTTTTTCAAATTTTTTTTCCACTCATATGAATCACATGAAATCACTAATCAGCCAAAAAATTAATTGTTTTCAGGCAGAGAGGGATGGCTCAAATGAATACAGTAATTATCAGCCAGGCTCACTGAACACGACAGATCAGTTGATAAAAGATTTGGACAACATTGATATTGTTTTTCATAATGGAGATATTACATATGCTAATGGATACATATCTCAATGGGATCAGTTCACTTCACAAGTTGAGCCTATTGCATCTACTGTCCCTTATATGATCACAAGGTCAGTTTCAGACTAATATTTTTTTCATGAATTTTTGAAAATTTTGAGGTGTCTCTTGGAATGTTAATTTATGGGTTTTTATTTTGGTGCAGTGGAAATCATGAGAGAGATTGGCCAGGCTCAGGATCCTTTTATAATACTACAGACTCTGGAGGGGAATGTGGTGTGCTGGCTGAGACTATGTTCTATGTCCCAGCTGAGAACAGAGCAAAATTTTGGTATGTAAAGTTTTCGGTTGTATGCAAACGCACAATTTTGTACCGTGATGGAAAAAAAAATTAATTCAATAATAATTTTGTGCAGACTAGATAAATCAGTACCCTTATAAGCATTTGTGTTCCATGTGAAAATTTTAAAACTGGCACTTGGGTATACCTTTTGTTATGGAAATATGGAAATATTCCCCGGAATAATCCAAATTGACACTCATATATTAATTTTATAACATTATAATCTTTGATGTTTGTTGAATTTACTGTCAAACCTATATGAATATATTTTACTTCAAGCCTATCTCAATTCTATTTGGAAACAGAATGTTCTATTTTAAAATAGAATGGGGACATGATCAACAGTATTCAACAAACATTAAGGGCAAAAAGTTGCTATAAACTTTGTATTATGTGAAAATCGCAAGCGAACAATCAAATGGATATTCTGACATCTACATAATGGAAGTGTACTGACGTGTTAATTTTAAAATGTTTTTCTGTCGAGAACACGTGAGGGTATATATGTCTGAAATAGGGTAGGCTGTAAATTAGTTAAGTGCTTAATTAGCCTTGTAAGGTAGCAAACTGTAATTTGAACTTCAATTCAAATTTTACAGGTACGCTACAGATTACGGCATGTTCAGGTTCTGCATAGCCGACACTGAGCATGACTGGAGGGAAGGAACTGAACAATACCGTTTCATTGAGCAATGCTTGGCATCAGTAGACAGAAGAAAGCAACCGTGGTTGATATTTTTGGCCCATCGAGTTCTCGGCTACTCTTCTTCGAGTTTTTACGCGCAGGAGGGATCTTTTGAGGAGCCCATGGGAAGAGAGAGCCTTCAGAAGCTCTGGCAGAAGTATAGAGTGGATATTGCTTTTTATGGGCATGTCCATAACTATGAGAGGTCCTGCCCAATTTATGAGGTAATGATTAATAACAGGGTTAGTTTCAGATGGACGCGTTGAGCTATGCTCAATTGCCGATAGACCCCCAGTATTATTTGTTCAAGTGCAGATAGACAACCCCTCCCCTCAAGAATTTTTCTTTACTACACGGATCTATTCGCACAAATAAAACTACAGGGTGTCTATCCACACTTGCGATATTATTACGGGGTGTCCATTTGCAGTTAACCCTTAATAACACCTCATAAGAAAGAATACATAGGTACTTCTATTCTTTCTATATGGAATTATTTTTACGTAAGTTTAAAACGTAATAAAACTAATAATATTACACATGCTACTAAAGCACACACGCACACAAACTGGAGTTTGTGTGCCTCTCCACAGTCTTGATTGGTGTATCATTGATGTGTTACACATCCAAGTCAACACGTGATTTCAATATGCAAATGACCTGAGTGGTGGTTTAGATTTAAGCTACATCAACTAAACGCTAATCCATGAACGCTCAAACAACAAGGTAAATTGCAGATAACCCTTTTTATCTATACCTTCAATAACACTTATCATCCTTTGACTAATTTAGTACCACGTACCGTCTATGGATTCACATTTTGAGAATTTTTTTTTTTATGTATAGCTCCCTCTCTTTATCACTCCAGAGGTGGGTGTTAAGCAATACTGAAATAGTTGAGGAATAATACGAGCTACTGAAGATATAGATGAGGGGTGTTATCTGCAATTTACCCTACCCAAAATATATGTGTACCTTTCTCATCCCTTCAGAAACTACATATCACAATTGTCTTTGTCTCTAACATTTTTCCATAAATGCAGAACCAGTGTGTGAGTACTGAGAAATCCCACTACACCGGAACGATGAACGGAACTATCCACGTGGTCGCCGGAGGTGGAGGCAGCCATCTTTCTGACTTCACCACCTTGCAAACACGATGGTCTCTTTATAGAGACTCTAACTATGGTTTCGTAAAGCTAACAGCCTTCAATCACTCATCCCTCCTTTTTGAGTATAAGAGGAGTAATGATGGCAAAGTGCATGATTCCTTCACAATCTCTAGAGACTATAGAGATGTATTGGCTTGCGTACATGATAGTTGCTCTCCGACTACAATGGCTTCTTAGAAATGAGAGAACTGCTATATATGTAAATGAAAATTTTCGTTTTTATGTTGTTATTCTTTTTTCTCATTGACCCAGAGAGCTGTTAGTTTTTCTGAAAAATATGATGGTAAATGGGTATATATATATGTGAGGATGTATCAATTCAAAATACATGACAACTCCAAAAACTTTCTTTATTCACTGTAAGATATTTTGATTATGGGATAATTGCTTGGAGCAAGCAATTTTCAAAAGGTTATGCACTCCCCACCCCCAACTAGAGTCAAACCCATTTAAGCTATTTGACCCAAGTTTTCATGCTAAAACACTCCTAGCCAAACATTGTATAAAGTCTCTATACTATATTTCAAAGTATTGCCCAATTTACCCTTTTGTAGAGTGTCAGAGTGTCAAAATTTTTTGTCTCATTAGGCAGTCTCTCATTACATTGTCCAGTAAAAAATGATGAGTTTAAGAGAAGAGATAAGAATGACATTAATGGCTAGGAGAGATTTTTTGGAGGGAAATGAAATATTGGAGGGAAACATACTAAGTTCCCTCCAAATAATGTCCCCATATCAAGGTAATATTTTCTTCCCTCTCTAGATTCTACTCGACAACCTTCAATAACCAAAATGCTCTTAACTCTTTCCTCTTAACTTCTCCAACAACCAAAATGAAAGAATCTTTAATATGTGTGATTTTGCTAAACACTAATGCAATCCTCATTAAAGTCAATTCTACAACAAGTGTAACCGACTAGAAGATGCATGCTATAGAGAATTTAAAGTATAGTATGAAAGTTTATTGATAAGTTACTCTCTCGAGAAGTTTCCCAATGTCTCGTTTAAGCTTCTAAAAGATATAGATATTCTCAACATGATAGATTATCATCGTTCAATGGGGTTAAATATGATAATCATGACTGTTAGTGAAAGAGATGAAGAATCCATGCATGCCATAGGGACAGAAACAAGAACAAAAACAAAGTTTAAGTAAGTATTCAAAAGATTATTTTCAGATTCTGTATACACGTTATAATGAGAACTGTGATGTTTACGTCTTATATGTGATCTATAGATATTGCACGTGACATATCGACTTTATTTGTGACGTATACAAGTCAACAGTTATTTGTAATTGCCACATGTGACTTATATGTATGTTATATTTAACTTGCAGTCTTCTTACTGTAAACTCGTAGTCATCAGAGCATATCCAGGAATCATAGAGGATCCCAAATGATAATCCTCAAGGAGAGTATGTATGGATAATAGATGACATAATAAGTGACTCGATAGGAATCTCGGCATGATGGTGGTACGAGGCAATTACTGAAAAAGGGCAACAATTTAAAAACGTAAAAGAAGATAGAATAACTTTTATATACTACTCGATAGCTAAGAATTTCTCTTTAAATATGTTAACAATGAGCCAAGACACATTCGTGCTAATTACATGTTCACAAAAGAAACAAAATGCTCGTGGTTGCTTTACGCTCCACCATTGAGCCATGTGTCAGCCTTTGCTATAAAAAATTAGTTTCTCAAAATACTTGTGGGCAACATAGCAGTACAGCTAGTCATTCTAGAGCATCGAGAAGGTGAATTGCGAGTATGCTACAATCAATTATGAAGAGCCATTCATCTATCACACCAACTGATATTAAAAAGGAATTACACTCTCAATACGGTTTAAAAGTTAGTTATTCTAAAGCTTGGCATGCTAAAGAGATGACAAAAGACCAAATATTTGGTTGAACAAGACATTCATATGGTTTACTACCCTGGTTAGTCCATTATTTTGTTAACCTTAAATATGATCCATTAACCTTAAATATAACATTTCGGAATGTTATGTGACGTATAAGTATAATATGTGATGTTTAGATGTATAAGTATAATATGTGATGTTTAGATGTCATACGTGATATTTAGGTTTTATATATGAGCTTTCGACCTTAAATGTGACAGTATGATATCATATGTGACATTTTGGTCTTAAATTGACTTTTAGACCTTATAAGTGACATTCACGTCTTACATGTGATAGTTAGAACTTATTCATCATTTAACAAGTTATTTATACTTTTAATCATCAATTAAAGGTACCAAATAAAGGTGATGGAAACAAACCCAAGCATTGTTGTCATCATTGAACAAGAAGAAAGATGATTCAAGCATTTATTTGTGTCCTATAATGCATGCATACAGGGGTTTCTCAAGGGATGTAGGTCATTGCTCTTTGCATGTGACATTATGCTTTTATATGCGACCCTTGTCTATCATGTGTGACCTTTACTAGTGGCATGTGACATTACTCTATTGATTGTGACTTTTATCTGTATCTTGTGATAATTTGCTGTTCCTTGTGACATTTCTTGGTTGTATGTGACACATTGCGATACTTTGTGATAGTGAAATTTTGTTTGATACATATGATATTTATTTAGATATATAGTCATATCACTTTTATAGGCTGTCTAAAAAAGATAGCTGATTCCCCATCAAACACCGATGATGGAAGTTCCAATCTAACGACTTCCAGAAGGCTATCTTTAGCAACACTCCGACAGAAAGAGATTACAAATCGACGATCTCTTCAAACCAAGACGTGGAACTCCTCCCTGCGTACCATCATCAAGACACAACACCAATTCAATCACCTACCGCGGCAAACACAAATGCAGCTTCTTATGTGAGATGATTGATCTTGATGGCTGCGACAACAACATGACTAATATTATATTAGCAACTATCAGAGGTGCTGATGAGCAGTGTAATGATATTCGACACACTGAAGAGCACATGGTTAAACCATGCAAAGAAATCTTAGTGGAGATCGTGACCTGCAGTTGATAGAGCGTTATTAAGATGCCTCAATTGTTACAAATGGCCTGAATAAGACCTTCTCTACTGGTCATTGGTGTCATCCATATATAAAGACATAGAAGCTCAAATGCAGCTCCAATCGCTGCCAATCATAGCTCGAACGCGGCTTCAGCGGCTCTCAAACGCAGCTCCAATCGCTGCCAATCACAGCTCAAACGCAGCTCATCATCGTTGCCCAACGCAGCTCATCATCGCTGCCCAACGCAGCTCATCATCGCTGCCCAACGCAGCTCATCGTTGCTGCCCAACACAGCTCATCATCGCTGCCCAACGCAGCTCATCATCGCTGCCCAACGCAGCTCATCATCGCTGCTCAACGCAGCTCCAACCGACGTCGAACGCAGCTCTATACTGCTGCCAAATGCACCTTCAAACATCGAAGAACGCAGCTCAATATCGCTGCAGAACGCACCTCCAGATGCTGCGTTCAAACACAGAATTTAGGCCAGAACGCATGTCAAAGTTCTGACCTGTTCAAACACGATCCAGGCAGTTTCGAAAACTGCTCTTCACCCACGATTTGAGGAATGGCTTACGTGGGTTGTTACACCCGATCAATGGGGTAACTAAGCCCCCATTTAGGAGCGGATTATGGGGGTAGTTACACCCCTAATCCCCCTATAAATATCAACAAACTCAACAGAGTTAGCATCTCTCTTTTTGGATTGCTTAGATCGGATTTTTGATAATCAGATCGAGGGACGGATTTTTGGAGATTGGATTTTGATTACTTGGAGAGGATCTTTCGATCAGATTTCCTAGAATCAGAAAAGGAGGATTGACTCCTTACACAGTCTGGGAAATCAACAAACGGAGAAGCTCTAAACCGTCGATATTTGGCTTATTAACCGAATTATTTTCGGTTTGAACAACTCTATTACTAGAGTTTATTCTGAATCACGAAACTCATCAAGAGTTATCAACCAGACAAGACTGTTGTTCCAGTGAGCATAGATATTCGGATCGTCAACGAGAAGCAAACTCGACGCAAGCATTCGAGGGAGGCATCTCATCGCCACCGTGAAGAACCCAGAATTAAACAAAGGAGAGAATCCAGATCATTCTCTTCTCTTTTGTAATCGGAAATCCAATTGTAATCGAGAGTTGAGAGATTTGTAAACATTCTTTTTCTAAACAGTTAGAAAGAATAAAAATCAAATACAGTTCTTTCATTATTTTCTTATTTGCAAATTTTCCACCAAACAAAAGATGGCGACTCCGCTGGGGACTGCTTCTCTTTTTTCCTCTGACGAGAAGTGGTGGCGGCAATCCGAGCGTTCACCTCACTGGAACAACCGTCAAATCTCTTGGTTGTGTGAGTTTGACCAAGCCAAGTACGAGGAGGCTCTCTCCTCTGGATCGGCTTAGCCCTGCAAGGCTAGGCGAGATACCTGTCAGAACTCTTATAGATGGTTTTATTACTGCCTGAGATGAATGCCAAAGAAAACACTCTCCTTTGGCAGAAGCCTCAACTTTCTCTGGCAAATCTGAAGATCGCCATGCTCATTTCGACAACGATGTACTTGGTTGTAAAAGGCCTATGACAGAGAAAGACACGATCAACGCCGACGACGCATGCTGCTAAAGCTTTGAAACAAGCCAAGAAAAACGCCGCTCGAAGACGGAGAAGATCCATCCGACGAGCACATCTCTGAGAAAATCAATCCTTGATCCGACGCAAGGATTGCATTTCCGAAGCTCTGCCCAAGCATTGCGTTCATACTCCAGAACACACACTTCGAGGTAACGAATCCAATTATGAACCTCGGGTGATTCAACTTAAACGCGACCCTCAGTGGTGCGTTGTCCAATCAAAACACAGCCCTGCTAAGGGAAAACAGACGCCTCATGAGTGCGTCCAAACAAAACAAGACCTTAAGGGGTCTGTTTCATCGACTAAACGCAGGCCAAGGCCTGGTGTTTATAAATCACAACGCGACCCTCGCACTCCGCTTCCCGAATACGATGTGGTCCGCCAAGTTAAAAAGGATCGAAGTGGACTCAAGATTCACGTCCACCAAGAACTAGTCTCGCCCCCTCAGAAACAAAGGGTCATATCTCCGATGAAGAGTCAATCTTAAAGCCCCGACTTGCGAGAGTTACTCTCTAGAAGAAAACCAATACAACAGGCGAATCATTCCTGCCATTGTGAGAGGATTATTTCAGCAGTCCTCTCCGAGTGC